GTAGTAGTAGTTGTTGTTGCTGTTGTTGTTGTGGTCATCGTCGCCGTCATAGTAGTACTAGTACTAGTAGCAGCAGGAGCCGCAGTGGTAGCGGTAGCGGTGGCAGAAACAGCAGTAGTGGTAGCAGCAGGAATCGCCTTGAAGTAGCCACAGCAGTAGCAGTAGCAGGGGCAAGAGCAGGAGCGGGAGCAGTAGCAGCAGGAGCAGGAGCAATAGCAGTAGCAGTAGCCGAGGCAAGCAGTAGTAGCGGTAGCAGTAGCAGTAGCAGCAGCAGCAGCAGCAGCAGCAGCAGCAGCAGGAGCAGTAGCAGTAGCCGTTGCAGTAGCAGAAGCAGCAGTAGCAGTAGCAGTAGCAGTAGCAGTAGCAGTAGCAGTCGCAGTCGCGGTCGCGGTCGCAGTCGCAGTCGCAGTCGCAGTAGCAGTAGCAGTAGCAGTAGCAGTAGCAGTAGTAGTGGTGGTAGTAGTAGTAGTAGTAGTAGCAGTAGCAGGAGTAGTAGTAGTAGTAGTAGTAGTAGTAGTAGTAGTAGTAGTAGTAGTAGCAGTAGCAGTAGCAGTAGCAGTAGCAGTAGCAGTAGCAGTAGCAGTAGTAGTAGTAGTAGTAGCAGTAGTAGTAGTAGTAGTAGTAGTAGTCGTAGTCGTAGTCGTAGTCGTAGTCGTAGTCGTAGTAGTAGTAGTAGTAGTAGTAGTAGTAGTAGTAGTAGTAGTAGTAGTAGTAGTAGCAGTAGCAGTAGCAGTAGCACTAGTGGTACAGGAGTAGTAGTCATTATACTGATTTGTAGTAGCAGTAGCAGTGCAGTACTCTAGTTTCCTATGGCTCATGCTCACAATTCTGGGCTTCAAGCTCGAATGTTTCGCTTCGAGCTGTGGCCTAAAGACCCGGAATGATATCAGCAGCAAGCTGTCAGGCGTCGGAGTTCTTACTAAGCCGTCCGAAGCGCCTAGCCAATTCAATGAAGCTGGGTCTGCAAAATGGCAACGCCGCCTTTGTTGCGAGCACCTCCAAGCAGGATCCTAAATGAACTGAACATCCCCCAAATCCGACTAGCTGCAGACTCGAAGGATACATGTGTGAACATTTCAAGAGTGACAGCAGGTATATGATCAATGCTGACGCTCGAAGTCGACTCCGGGAGGTTCAACTTTCTGATGCTGCTGGTGACGGAGACAATGATTGTGATGCTGACGGTTTCCAAGCTACGATGTATGTGGGCTGTGGGCTGGCCTTGGTGATGATAACGATGTTGTTGATGATGATGACAGTGGCTGGAGGTGATGACGGTGGTAATGACGTTTGTCATGATGATGGTGGAGAAGAAGATCATGATGGTGTTGTTGATGAGGATGAGGGTGGAGGCAGTGGTAGTGGTGGTTGTGGTGATGATGACGATGGTGGTCATGATGACAATGTTGACACTGATGACCACGATGATGGTGATGATTATGGTTGTGGTGGTGGCAATGGTGCTAATGATGCTGACAAATACGAAACGAAGATGCTACTGTTGCTGCGGATGCTGCTTGTGGAGAAGCAAATGGCCACGACATTGACGGTGTGGATGAAGATGGAGACCCTTCAATGTACGATGGCTTTCATTTAGGCCGCAGCTCGATAGCTGCTTTTGGCTCGAATTTGTGCTGAGCTGAGGAGCTGCGGATCCTGCGAAAGGGCCGAGGGCTTCAGGAATGCAGGCATGGAGACAGAGCCATGTATCCTCTACAAACACGAACTGCGCTATCCCCCAAACCCTGAGCCCTATAAGAGCCAGTTGAGCCAGTAGGATCCTGAACTGATGAGAGTGATTGAAGTGGAGGGTCCCCCTCTTTCGTCAAAGAGGGCCTCCGTAGTGGGTTTGAATGTATTTACGGACAGCTTTCACAGAATCTATAGCTGCTACTATAGCTCCTTAAATGAAGACATCCCCTAGATTACTATTGAGTACGTTCAGCCAGCTTGTGATTGTGGCTGGATCCGCAGCACCTCTTCCCAGCACCCTGTGAGGAAGCTGGTGAGTCCACTCCAGCAAGCTCAACAAACAGAGCAGTTGCAGGACTTTAGGCTGTTAGGCTGCGGGCTCCGGGCACCCGAACTTCCGACTCAGTCGTGAGTTCGAAGCTCTGACCGTGTAAAGCGCAGACCCTGCATGGGCCAAACGGTCCATGCGACCCCATATAGTGCATGTGCCGGGATCTAACCAGCCAACCTGAATGAACATCGACCCAGAGCCTGCAACAATCGGCCCTAAACCACGAAACTGAATCCTTGGAACTAGTGGCTGGAGCTAATGCTGTGATCCTGGCTACGAGGTCGAGATTTCCTGTAAGCAAGCTGGCGGCTGCGCTCCTCTAAAGGACGGACTGCGCCAAGAAACGTCGAACCTTCAGCTCGCCGGAGTTTATCCTAAGACATTTACAGGTGGGTAGCTATAAGGTGGGTAGTTTCCCATAAGCCTCCCATACCACTCCTATATGTAAGGTAAAGGGGGTATTATGGGAGTACTATGGAAGAGGAACTACCTACCTGTAAGGGGCTTCTATTTATCCTAGTAGTAGAGTAGGTAACCTTCAACCTCTCTTGGGGTACTATAAGGGGCTATAAGGGTAATAGAGGGGTTCTATGAGGGTTCTTAGTCGCAGAGTAGGTTCCCTATATAATCCCGGTATACTCCAAAGGTATCGGTTTTTTAATAATTGTGATTATATCCTTTATTGTTTAAGATAGATCCCTAATTATAGACATCTTCGGGGGCTGTTGACATCGACATCTAGTTATGCTTCAGGGGGCTCAGCATCTGGGAGCTTGGGCCCTTTGGGTTTAGAGTTTAGAGCTTGCCTATAGTCTCCATTGTAGTTCCTTTTTGGGGTTACCTTATAGGATCCTAATTATATATTTGGCTAAACCAAAAAAGGGAACTACAATGGAGACTATAGGTAGGGCCTTAAGGTTTAGGGGAAGGCAGTAAGCCGAGAAGGCCCAGGCCCTCAGCTTCAAAGGGTAAGCTGACCTGGCCCTTGCGCATGAAAAATGAGCCCTGAACCTGAACCTCTAGACTCCAGAATGTCCGTGTGTGAAGAATGTTGAGTGGTATCCCTGATTTTTCTCTAAACAGATACACACATCAAATAATCAAAGTATAGCATACCTCAAGCCCAATTGTGGGGATTTTTTTGTGGAGACTGACCCTGCTCAGTAACCCTGACCCCGCCTCAGCCCCTGAACTACTCTTTCTGGCACCTTGAAACTGGCCTAAGGAAGCTTTTGAAAAGATAGTGTCAGGTTTCGGCCTTAGTTTACGATAGAGCACTGCGTGAGCCTTGCTAGTCCCTAAACCCTAAGCCGTAAACCCTAAACCCGCTCCGGCGGACTGCGGGCAAAGAAGCAGCTTGGTTCTTTCGGACATTCGCTCTCGTCCGTCTTGTCGAGTTGTCTCTGGGCTTTGGAGGTTCAAGAGCATGACGGTTTTATGGCTCAGGGGCTTTCTAGGGTTTAGGGTTTGGGGGTTTAGGGGTTTTGGGTTTAGGGTTCCACATTGTCAATCTCAAGACCCGTAAGTTTAGGGGTGCATGCCTCAACATGCTGGACCGGTTGATAAATTGCTTTTCTGCCGTGGGAAGTTGCTGGGTCTGTATCTGGTGCCTAAATCGCCGTTCCCTCAACGACACCAAGTCCGACATGAGCCGGAGCCTAAACCCGGGCACCCTAATACCTTTAAGCCCTGCACCTTTTCCCAATTCGCACAACAGAAATCACGCGTCCAAACGTTAAGCCCTCAACTCTTAAACCCTGTCCGTGAAACCCCACTGCCCCAAGACCTGCTAAACCTGATAACCTGATGCTCTGAGCTCTGAATTCTACGGCCCGTCGACCCTAACACCCCAAACCCTCAATCCAAAAACCCCAACTTTCCTACCAAGTGTCGAACACTCAAGCCCTGCAGACCCTGAAGCCCCAAGACCCTGAACCCCCAAACTTGGAATCTAAAGCCCCAATCTCGTAGCGCTCCGACTGCCGACCCCAACTAAGACCCGAAAGCTTACGGCCCGAAATCCTCAACGAAACCTGGATTTCAAAAACTCTAGGCCTTAAGACCCTCGTAGAATGCACAAGCCTTTTTCGTATCTTAAGCCTTTCTGCCCTACTCGACAAGACTACGTGATGTCTTGACCTTCCTCTCGTGCGCGGCGCCGCCAGTACTGGAAAAAACAAGTCTTGATAACAGAAGGGTATGTAAGCATATCTATCATATCCTTCCATCCGTCTGTCTCTCTCTATGGACGTACCTGCTTGACTACCCTGCCTACCTGCCTATCATATTCTCTATCTGCCTATCTGTCTATCTGTCTGTCTGTCTGTCTATCTAGTATATACGTGTATATACACATGCACCTGCATCTGTCTGTCTGGCTGGCTGTCTGTCTGTCTGTCTATCTATGTACGTCCGTTTTGCCTGTCATGTTTGTTTTGCTGCATATGTGAATCTACTTATGTATCTACCTACCTATCTAAGTATTTAACTATCTATGTAAGCCGGCAGGGGTAGGCAAGCAGGCAGGTGTGCAGATATGTACTGTATGTAATTTAGATGATGTATGCTGTAGCACATGTACCGTCTGCCTGTATGTCTGTATGTCTGTATGTATGTATGTATGTATGTACGTGTGTCCCCAAACCCTGTGCACCCTGAAGCCCAAACCCTAAACCCCGAACGCCTAGACTGAACGATACTTATACTTTTGCATGCTGCTTTTTCATTGAAGGTCGCTGATAGATACACCGGCTTTTTTCATAGCAAGTAGAATGGTCCTGCTACTACGGCCATAAAAAAAGAGTTCAACTAGCAGGGGCTTGCATTACACGGCGCTTAGACGGCTTAGACCCACTGTGCGAACCCTCGAGGAGGTGGCAAAACCCCATCAACATACTAAACCCCAAACCCCGAGACCCTAAAACGCTGCCGCTGCAGTCTGTGCTCATCTCACCCCGAACTCAAAAGCTTCCCCAAGGCTCGAAATCTGGATTCCTTGGGCCGGGTTCCAAAAAGGGAATGAGGGCTTACGGGCCAGGGTGAGGCTTCAGCCTCCAGTGATCCAGGGTTTACCTATAGTCTCCGTTGTAGCTCCTTTTTGGGGTTACCTTATAGGATCCTAATCACATATTTGGCTAAGCCAAGAAAGGAACTACAATGGAGACTATAGGTAGGGTTCGGGTAACCCTAAGGTTCCAAGCACCTAATTATCACATACTCTCCAAAGTAGTCATTTCATTCTCTGCGGTTGAGTCGGTAAACGACGCTCGCCTAGCAAGGTGAATTCAAACTGCATTTAATTGAAAGTGGGGTGGCGCAGAAATCTATTGACATAGACATAGTATGCGCTCACCGGACAGGGGTGGGATGTAACCAGCAAACGGAAAAGCTGTCCCAACCCCACAACAAAATCAAAGATGGCGCATGGAAGAATGCCTGAGAATGCACGGCAAACAAAGGATGCTTTGTATTCCGTAAACGGCGATCAAAGCATCAGACAACCTACGATCCACATATCGGACCCAAGACGTGCAGGATCTTCCTCATGGGTATCAGCTGAGGCCATTCCTACACGGTTACAATACCCAGGATGTCTAACACCTTCATCGAGGTGATATCGGGACATCAAACTCAACCATAGCATGAAGGCCATAGGACCTCCACACGCAAATCTAAAGCGCTCCAGCATCACTCACTTACATGATCAGGAACTGCTAAGCCAGGATAGCGGAGTCAGCGTCATTAGATCGAAGGCCTGACGAGCCTCTGTTCTGCTTGATGGCGCACTGCTGGAAAGCCGACGTCTTCATGCAGACAGCCGCAAATTCCTGACGAGCCTCTGCTCTGCTTGATGCCTCTCAGCTGAAAAGCCGGCGTCTTCTTGATGGCAGCCATCACGGTGAAGTGTGCGAGCATTGTCCTCCAAACCATCTCCACACATATGTTCAACATGGCCACCTTGCACAGCATGTCCTTCGAGCCCATAAACACCATCACATCGGGTGAAGTGCATGAGCTGCCAGGTTGCCGCTTGGTGGTGCAAACGCCCTCGCCTGACGAGCCTCTGCTCTGCTTGATGCCGTGCGGCCTGAAAGCCAGCGACTTCTTGAAGCCAGTCGCAGACTCCTTTATGGTGAGTGGTGCGAGCGAGTCCTCCCAGCCCATGTTCAATATGGCCACTCTGCACAGCATGTCCTTCGAACCCGTAAACACCATCGCAACAGGTGAAGGGCATGAGCTGCTAGGTTGCCGCTTGGTGATCCATTCTCCCTCGCATGACGAGCCTCTGTTCTGCTTGATGCCGCGCAGCTGAAAAGCCGGCCTCTTTTTGAAGCCAGTTGCAAACTCATCTGCTGTGTGGTCTGCGAGCATGTCCTCCGAACGAATGCTCAACAAAGTCACCTTACACAGTGTGTCCTTTGCGTCCATGATCGCCATCATGTCGGGTGAATGCAAAACCTGAATGCCCAGCTTGTGCATGGCACACTTGCCGCTATGCACTGCTTGCCCGTAGCCGGCAGACGCACCCATGACGGGTGCTGGGGCCTACAATGTTCCTGCCCTGCGCAGGCGATTTGGGCCCTCTCCAAAGTAGTAACCTACATAACTACTATCCCAAACCCCCAATACCTAAGTATTGACTCCTTTGGACCCTTGGGGGAAGAGTTGTAGCAACAGGCTGAAGGTTGAAGCTTTCAGGGGTCTTGAAAGTGTAGCTCTCACCTCACGTCCGTCGCATCCCTCGAAGGCACTTGTACACAAACATTGTAACAGACCATCCTAGACCGCCCAAACTCTATTCAGATCATTAAGGCCCTTACACTGGAACGTCAAAGCCCTAAACCCTAAACCCTAAACCCTATACTTCAAAGCCTCTAAACCCCTAAACCCTATACCCAAAGCCTCAACCGACGACCTTACCATCTCCAACCTCCACGGAGCTGGAGATTCCAGTTCTTCGGAAAGCTATGGGACAAGATGGTTGCCAAGGTTTCTTGTTTAGGGTTTAGGGTTTCGGGGTTTAGGGGTTTAGGGGCTAGGGGTTTAGGGTTTAGGGATTAGGGTTTTAGGGTTTAGGGTTTAGGTTTTTTCGGTTTTGGAGTTAGGGTTTAGGGTTTTAGGGCTTGGGGTTTGGGTTTGGGGTTTGTTTCTTGCGAAGGTATGGTACATCTGGTCTTACCAAGTTTGCGTCATAGGACTGCAAAGCCATCGTTGAGAGTATGCGCACTAATTACTAAACTTGATTCCTAACGCGACCCCAGTCAGACCCCAAAACCCACACCTCAGGACCAATGCTGCCCAAATCCGAAGCATGTCGGCAAAGCCACCTCCTACCCCCGAACCCTAAACCGTCTGAACCCTGATGTAGGAACCTGATTAAGAAACCCCTGGGCCTATAACCCCAAAATAATAGGATTCAGATAAGGATCCTTAATAAATGGCCCAAGGTTCCTACATTAAACCTTAAGTGCATTTCGCCACCGAGGCTTGGGAAACGACGAGGCGGCGAAGTTTGAGAAAGGCTACGGCAGGCTCATGGCTCATGGTTTCCGGTTTAGGGTCCAAAACCCTGTTTTTTTTTTGCCGGGTTTATGGTGGGTTTTTGCAGGTGGTTTGAATATGGAGGCTAGGCTGTTCAGGGGTTTCTGGTTCCGGTTTGTGGTTTGAGATTTCGGGGTTCAGAGTTAGCTCTAAGGGGATCTGCATCACCAGCATGATCGTCATCACCATCGGCGAAAGCACTCCCCATCACCAGCAGCATCATTTGCCCGTCCGCTTCTTCTTCCTACTGCTGACCTATCCTACGTCCACTGGTACTATCACTGCGCTGCCACCGCCAGCAGAAGCAGTAGTAGCACAAACGCTTTTGCCAGAAGCGGTAAAAGGCAGCAACAGCAAGGAGGAGGAGGAGGAGGAGGAGGAGGAGGAGGAGGAGGAGCTGCAGCAGTAGCACCAAGAGGACACATGAGGCAAGATCTGTCGTCGGCCTGGTAACTATAAGACCCAAGCCGTTAACACCGCAACCTCAAGTGTCAAATCATGAGAGCCATGAAGTCTTAAGAAAACTGTTTCCGAGGCAGTTAGGAAGTACTTGTCCAAGGCTTCTTTTCTTTCAAGGAAGGATCACAGAAGCACAGCTAAATTCATACATCTGTCCAAGACCGGAAGACCAAACCTCAGTTTCTTAGGGTTCCGGGTTGTTTGGGCTTCAACCCCGTGCGGATCGCAGTTAGCGCGCACAGCTTAGTGCGCAGGAAAGTCTCTGGGTACATCTTCGGGGTCGCGGTCGGGGCTCTAAATCCTGAATCCCTACACATGCCCTGAAGCCCTCAAACACATAATGTAGGGTCCTCATTATACCCACCACAGTATAATGGGCCACAGAACCCTATTCTAACTATTAAGGCCCTTATTTATAGTAGCCCCTAAAGTGAAAGCCAGAAAGTTGGAATATGATTATCTAAACCCTTTATGGTCAATTATAGGGTATCCTATCCTGAAACCATATTCCAACTTTCTGGAGTTCCCTTTAAACCCAAAACGGGAGTCAGGGCGATGTTCGTCGTCAGGAGCCTCTCAGATGCCATGTCGGCGGGTGAAGTCTGCAGTGCTGTGACCGCCATGGAGGCGCCCTGCAGAGTTTCCGAAAATTAGGGGTACCTTATTTTGGGGTCTTTATAGCAAGGATCCTAATATTTAGGGTACTATATCACCCTGAAGAGTTCTTCTGGGTTTGGGGTTTAGGGGAGTGACGACGCTCAACATGGTGCCATATATGGTGCCGGAATGATATCAGCAATATTTTCACATCTTAGGCCATGAACTCCACATCGTAGGCCGGTAAGCCCCACGTCGTGGGCTCTAATCCCCGTATCTTGGGCCCCAGACCTCACCTCTGGGCCAAAACCCCAACCCTGTCTGATTTTCGGTTCTGGATACCCTAAACCCTAAACAACCCTGTCTTATGTTCAGTTCTGGGTCGGGCACGATTGCACAGATGCTTTGGAGCTTTCGGGGTAGTGGACGGTTCTGAAGTGAGTCGAGTTATGAGTCGAGTTCCGACGAAGACTAAACATGTCACTAATGTAGGAACCTGATTAAGAAACCCCCTCTAACCCCCAGAATAGTAGGATTCATATAAGGAACCCTAATATAGGTGTTTCTGGGGGGTACATGTATGGTCTCGGCGCGCCGTTTCTCTCGCGCTCCGCAGTCCATCGAATGCGTTCTCTTTCTACCTATCTGGTGACTCCGGCAGTAGCGGTTGTTGCACAGTCCTGTGTCTGTCCGTCTGTCTGTCTGTCTATCTACCTAATACTAATCTATCTATCTACAAGTTTCATAAAGCCTTAAAGTCCGAACTCTAAAGCGTCAAAGCCCTCCATGACCTCGCAAACAATCCTACAGAAACCCAGTACACCATTTCTTACACAATTCCTTCACAACATTCCTCTGAAAGGTACCTCGGAGATACTTCAAGTGGAGCCCTAAATCCTAAACCTCATAAGCCCTCAACCCTTAACCTCGTGAACCTTATACCCCCCAAACCTTGAACCTGAGAAGCCTAAACCCTAAAGCCCAAGCCTTCTAAAGCCCTAAACACCCAAACCCGAAACGCCTAAACCCTAAACCCCACCTGGCCAAGGAGGCTAAAGCCTTAAAATAAAACCCTCTGAGATCCTCCAAGTGGACCCCGTCTTTGAACGTTAAAAAACCTGATAAGCCCTCAACCCTAAAGCCCAACCCTTCTAAAGCCCTAAAACCCCTCTGAGATCCTCCAAGTGGAGCCCGGTGAGCTGTTGCAACGCTGCCTCGATGCCGGCTACGAGAAGCTCAGGTCTCGTGGGGATATACTTGGAGGTTCATGGGTAGCTAAGAGTAGGGTTTATAAGGGGTCTATAGGGTTCCTTTAAGGGTTATACTTTACAACCCATATCAGGGGACTTATAACCCCACTTATAACCACCCCTGGACCTCCAAGTAGGACCCTTAGAGGGCACCTAAAATTAAAACACACAAAGCCTTAAGTCCTCGCAACCTAAAACCTTCAAGCCTCAAACACCCTAAAGCTCCAAAACTCCCAAACCACTAAAGGTCTTAAGGCCGTAGTAGAAAACAGGCGCTAAAAGCCGGAGACACCCCTCCGCCCCTACATGGCTTAACGTGTGCCCCAAAGCAGCGAAGACCCAAGCGCCCTGATATCAGGGCCTGTTTCATGAGAATAGGGTTTCGGGAGTACATGGTATACTGTATACATACAAATAGATCCTCAAGGAATTGTCTTCTCCAGTAACCGCATATATACACACATACAAATTGACACATGCATGCATGCCACGCATGCATGCATACCTACGTAGGTAGATGGATAGATAGACAGATAGATATATCGCAGCCCTGGTATATAGTATCCTATCTAGGGCTGCAGACCCCTTTAAACGCAACCATCAGGCTTCTGCACTCCTATATTATACAGAAACCTATATGGAACCCTCCTAAGCCGTAAACCCTGGACCCTAAGCCCTAAGCCTTGTAAACGGAACCATTAAGCTTGTGTACCGTCTGTACCCCTATATGAAGATCAAACCCGGGCCGCTTGGGCAGGTCTGGTCTTTACTGCGCCAAGCTTGGAGGCGGTGAAACCGGGCAGCCCGGACACCTAGGCTTTTGGATTTACAGGGTTTAGGGTGTCGGGCTTTAGGGTTTGAGGTCTTTAGGGCTTCTTGGGTTTATAGGGTTTAGGGTTTCGGGCTTTAGGGTTTGAGGTCTTTAGGGCTTCTTGGGTTTATAGGGTTTAGGGTTTCGGGCTTTAGGGTTTGAGGTCTTTAGGGCTTCTTGGGTTTACAGGGTTTAGGGTTTCGGGCTTTAGGGTTTGAGGTCTTTAGGGCTTCTTGGGTTTATAGGGTTTAGGGTTTCGGGCTTTAGGGTTTGAGGTCTTTAGGGCTTTTTGGGTTTATAGGGTTTAGGGTTTCGGGCTTTAGGGTTTGAGGTCTTTAGGGCTTCTTGGGTTTACAGGGTTTAGGGTTTCGGGCTTTAGGGTTTGAGGTCTTTAGGGCTTCTTGGGTTTACAGGGTTTAGGGTTTCGGGCTTTAGGGTTTGAGGTCTTTAGGGCTTTTTGGGTTTATAGGGTTTAGGGTTTCGGGCTTTAGGGTTTGAGGTCTTTAGGGCTTCTTGGGTTTACAGGGTTTAGGGTTTCGGGCTTTAGGGTTTGAGGTCTTTGGGCTTTTTGGGTTTATAGGGTTTAGGGTTTCGGGCTTTAGGGTTTGAGGTCTTTAGGGCTTCTTGGGTTTACAGGGTTTAGGGTTTCGGGCTTTAGGGTTTGAGGTCTTTAGGGCTTCTTGGGTTTACAGGGTTTAGGGTTTCGGGCTTTAGGGTTTAGGTCTTTAGGGCTTTTGGGTTTATAGGGTTTAGGGTTTCGGGCTTTAGGGTTTGAGGTCTTTAGGGCTTTTTGGGTTTATAGGGTTTAGGGTTTCGGGCTTTAGGGTTTGAGGTCTTTAGGGCTTCTTGGGTTTACAGGGTTTAGGGTTTCGGGCTTTAGGGTTTGAGGTCTTTGGGGCTTTTTGGGTTTATAGGGTTTAGGGTTTCGGGCTTTAGGGTTTGAGGTCTTTAGGGCTTCTTGGGTTTATAGGGTTTAGGGTTTCGGGCTTTAGGGTTTGAGGTCTTTAGGGCTTCTTGGGTTTACAGGGTTTAGGGTTTCGGGCTTGAGGGTTTGAGGTCTTTAGGGCTTCTTGGGTTTACAGGGTTTAGGGTTTCGGGCTTTAGGGTTTGAGGTCTTTAGGGCTTTTTGGGTTTATAGGGTTTAGGGTTTCGGGCTTTAGGGTTTGAGGTCTTTAGGGCTTCTTGGGTTTATAGGGTTTAGGGTTTCGGGCTTTAGGGTTTGAGGTCTTTAGGGCTGCTTGGGTTTACAGGGTTTAGGGTTTCGGGCTTGAGGGTTTGAGGTCTTTAGGGCTTCTTGGGTTTACAGGGTTTAGGGTTTCGGGCTTTAGGGTTTGAGGTCTTTATGGCTTTTTGGGTTTACAGGGTTTAGGGTTTCGGGCTTTAGGGTTTGAGGTCTTTAGGGCTTCTTGGGTTTACAGGGTTTAGGGTTTCGGGCTTTAGGGTTTGAGGTCTTTAGGGCTTTTTGGGTTTATAGGGTTTAGGGTTTCGGGCTTGAGGGTTTGAGGTCTTTAGGGCTTCTTGGGTTTACAGGGTTTAGGGTTTCGGGCTTTAGGGTTTGAGGTCTTTAGGGCTTTTTGGGTTTACAGGGTTTAGGGTTTCGGGCTTTAGGGTTTGAGGTCTTTAGGGCTTCTTGGGTTTACAGGGTTTAGGGTTTTGGGCTTTAGGGCTTGAGGTCTTTAGGGCTTCTTGGGTTTACAGGGTTTAGGGTTTCGGGCTTTAGGGTTTGAGGTCTTTATGGCTTTTTGGGTTTACAGGGTTTAGGGTTTCGGGCTTTAGGGTTTGAGGTCTTTAGGGCTTCTTGGGTTTACAGGGTTTAGGGTTTCGGGCTTTAGGGTTTGAGGTCTTTAGGGCTTTTTGGGTTTATAGGGTTTAGGGTTTCGGGCTTTAGGGTTTGAGGTCTTTAGGGCTTCTTGGGTTTACAGGGTTTAGGGTTTCGGGATTTAGGGTTTGAGGGCATTAGGGCTTTTTGGGTTTATAGGGTTTAGGGTTTCGGGCTTTAGGGTTTGAGGTCTTTAGGGCTTCTTGGGTTTACAGGGTTTAGGGTTTCGGGCTTTAGGGTTTGAGGGCATTAGGGCTTTTTGGGTTTATAGGGTTTAGGGTTTCGGGCTTTAGGGTTTGAGGTCTTTAGGGCCTCTTGGGTTTACAGGGTTTAGGGTTTCGGGCTTGAGGGTCTCAGGGTGTCAGGTGTAGGGCTTTGCTTTTATGAGCTCATAGGGTTTAGGCGCTTGTTTTTGGTTTGAGCTGCTATGTGGGAACTGGGTTTACAGTTCAGGGCTTAGGTTTGCATCATTCTAAGGACATCAAGGCCCAGAAACCCACGGCGGCAGCGCATTCACAAGGAAAAACAGGAACAGCATGTAGAAATCCGAGTTTTTGTGCACCTGCCCGGACTGTCCGGCCAGCCAAAGATTTGCTCTGTCATCCTCAACCAAATTGCTGTCCCAAGGCTCTTTGTCTTGAACGGCTTCTACGCCCGCATGCGTGAGAAGCTGCAACCTGAGAGAGCCAAGACAGGTGTTTCAGGTGGTGAACCACCGTCCTTCAGGTTTTGGATCCTTCCTTCGCAGAGAGCCGTGGCATCTCTTGACTTAGAAATCCTTGATTTGGAGGCGCCAAACCGCATCAGGACCGTTAAACCGCACACCTAATAGCCCAGAGACCTCAACCTCCTTCAAGCATACAACTTGTAGAGGACGCTCTTCGCAGTCTGTGCGAACCCAAAAACCTTTCTGAAGCGAGTTTTACGTTGGCAACGCCTGGCAAGGGGTAAGTAGTGGTATCCCTTTTCATTGCCCATGAGTCGGCAACGAAAGTTGTTCTATACTAGTACTAAGTATCAATTTGGGATAATGGTTGATTTCCCTCATTGTGTAAAATAGAGCCCTCACTACACATAGTTTTGGGGACTGTTCAAACCGACACCGAGTATAGAATATGTTGAGAGTATTTCCAAGCCTAGTTGGAGTCATGAATCGGCCCCTATATTATGGGGAAACTGGAGGCTTCTATGCTGGGTTGAGGGTTTGTGGGTTTAGGGTTTGGTTTTATGTGGCTGCGTCAGGATTTCCAATTAGCGTCCTGTTTAGGCTTGAGGGTCCGCTGTACCTAGGTTGAGAGATAGCTACACTTGACAATATGTATACATCTACATACGGATACAGATACATGTGAGAAGCGTACGTGTACATGTGCATATGTATGCATGCATGTATGTATGTACACATGTACGTATGTATATTGTGTATGTATGTACGTATGCATGTATGCCTAAACCAATGGTGAAAGGACCTACCTGCCCCAAAGCATCCGGAATCCTGGAAGCCTAAACTTTAAACCCGGGAACCCACAAATCCGTAATCCTAAAGCCCCTAGATCAGAAATCCTGAACCTTAAATCCAAACCCCTACAAACCCTAAGCTTCTATGTAAGCCCAAAGCCATCCCGCACAGGTTTCTTTTAGGGTTCCCTGAAGGGTTCTGGGGGTTCAGCCTATGCCTAGGTTCACCAAAGCCGGAGTGGTCGTCCACTGGCACGTCGTCGGATTCGATTCGGCGAAGTTGTCCCTGACCCAGAAGGATCTTTGAAGGGGTCCTTTCGGATCTTGTGCGGGTTCCTTCTTAGGGTTCGGGGGTTTAGAAAATCAGGGTTTTTGGGGGTTTAGGGTTTGTGGGTTGTGCGGTTTAAGTCATTGACCAGCCCATTGTAATATATTGACACATAACTCTTCGTGGTAATTTAAATACGTATTATGACTACCGGCTACTTATTCCGACCTTTGTTTTTTGTTTTATAAGGCTAGAGGGGGCGTGGTAAGGGTTTGAGGGTGTTCTACGGGGTTTGGGACTGATGTAGCTTTCAGAGGATATTATGACGAATTATTCCGCCGGCATGTATGCTTTGTAGGGCTGTACAGTGGTTGTGTTAAGGGTTTTGTTTTTCGGGGCGGGTTGAGGATTACCCCTGGCTCCAACCACGTAATAGTTTTTAAGCAGCTGTATCTTACTGTATGTTTAGAGCACAACCTGATATTGGCGCCTCAGCTCGGGCTAGGGCAGTAGCAGTTACAAGATTTTCTGGGTCACCGGGGATCCCCACACATGTTCCGTGCTACCGTCAAGGACGTCAGCCTGAAGCCACATGCTTTTGCCCTGACAGCTAAAGCCCCACGACCCCCAAACCCTGAACCCCCAGACCCTAAACCCTAATCAGTTTGGGGGTATAGGGTTTGGGGAAGACCCCTGGCTCGTAGATTCCGCTATGGGCCTTAATGTTAATAGGATCGCGATCGCACTGGGGCTTATGTTAAGAGGTCTACATGAACCAAGACAAAACCACGGCAATACGCATAAGACGTAGAGGGCGGGGGGTCGTCGCACTGGAGGAGACTGGTGACACAGATTTCGACGACAGGGGTGACACTCATTTCGACGAGCCAAACCTTGAAAAAGTTCAGAGAACGTTTTCATACGGCCGTCTAAACGCCAGGAGACAGCCTCGCAGAAACCATACTGAGGAGCAACAACTTCAAGCAAATGTTCCAACTAACAGACGGAGCATTCATTTAAAACACCCAGCTCCATAAAAACCCCGATTACGCCCTATAAACCGCCTACCTCATCCCACCATAAAGCTCATCGTATCCTGAACGC